GATATCCTTCTAGTAATCCCCAGCCAGATTGTGTGAACTGGGATCCCATGGTTCTAGGGATTAGGAATATCTTCTGCAAAAGGGCGGAGGCTAGCTCTCAGCCTGCTCAGTCACACTTCCCGTGGTACCGGGATTGAGTGGAGCACTGGGTGAAAATCAGTGGGTTAGTGCACAAGCTGTCCCCTTAATGGTAGTTAAGAGACAGTCCTCCTGTTGGCAGAGCTACAGTTTCATGGCCATGCAGTACAAAGTGCCATTGTGAGACTATGGACTAATCCATCTATGTGACACCAGGGACATCGGTCCTAGGAGAAGGTGGGGTGATCAGGACTGGACTGCAAAGGATGCATTTTCTATGAAATTGTACTGAGGACGTTCTCCTTGCAGATTTTGATCAGGATGAGCCTCCAGGCCCCACCCAGACTACTGCAACTGGCGGGGCAGAGCCTGCTGAGGGACGAGGCCGTGGCCTTCCGTGATGTAAAGGAGCTGCCAAGGGACTTTTTCCCACAACTATTCATGGAGGCCTTCACCAAGAGACAGAGAAAAGTCCTGACGGCCATGGTGCAGGCCTGGCCCTTCACCTGCCTGCTTCTGGGGTCCCTGATGCTGACCCCTGACCTGGAGACCCTAAGAGCTGTGCTGGATGGGCTGGATGTGCTGCTGGCCCAGAAGGTTCGCCCCAGGTGAGGCTGACTCAGGGAGCCTGGTAGGGAGGGCCCAGGGGTGTGTGCCAGAAAGCTGGGTCAGGGAGAGTGGGGGTCTCCCTGAGGCTCTCCCAGAGGCTCCTGATGGTGCCAGTGAGGAAGCTCAGAGACCTGCCCATTGCTGAGCCCACTCTGGGAAAGAGCCCCTGGAAGGCTGGGACTGCTCACCGTGCAGCAAGCCCAATTGGGAATGAACCTGCTTTCTCCAGTGCCAGTAAAGGCAAGAGAAGCGGACACTGGAATAGATCTAGTCAGGGAAAGGGCTTGGAACAATCAAGAGAGCAAAGAAGCATGGACAAGAGTGGCTAATGTGTGGGGAGTGGAATGAAGGCTCAGGTCCCAGCGGGCTTTGCCTAATCTGAGACTCTCCTGTGTTTTGTGCACAGTGGGTGGAAGCTGCGAGTGCTGGACTTAAGGCAAGTTGGTCAGAATTTCTGGAGCTTCTGGAGCGTGTGGTCTGCAGCCCCTGTGAGGTCGTCACGGGCCATGAGTCTGAGGGAAACGGAGGCCGACTGTCCATGCACAGGAAGCCAGCGACCACTGAAGGTTGTCGTAGACTTGCGTTATAGCATCGAAGATGGCATCACACATGAATTTCTCATGTATGCCTGTGACTGGGCCCAGCAGAGGAAGGATTTAGTACACCTGTGCTGTAAGCGGTTGGATCTTTATGTTTGGAATTTTGATAAAGTCAGGAAGTTTCTGGAAATGGTGGACCTGAACTGTATCGAGGACATTGGGTGCACATCTCTGCCACGGGATAAGACTAGAACATTTGTCCTTACCTTATACAGGGATCGAGTGTTCGTAATTCTCTTCCGAACTTCCCGGGGTGGTGCCCTGTTGCCAAAGATGGGGAAGAAATCAGGAACCGCAGACCTCTACATTCTAAGCTGGACCAGTCAGAAGCTTCAACTGAGGAGGTCCTTCGACGGGGACATCCCGCCCTTAGACAGGTAGCAAGGACGGTGAGCTTGCTTGCAGGCAGCAGACAAGTTCCTTGTGATAGGTAAGCATAAAGGACTTACTCTGTGCCAGCAGTGGATCGGTGACAGCAAGGAACACAGGATGCAAGCCTTGGTGGTATTACTGTCTGTCCTGAAGCAGATGTCACATCACACTCCCCATGTGAAGGCAGAGGTCACCTGGGGTAGAGGCTGCTCAGGGACACTGCTGGACAGCGAGCTAACAGGGGGCCGACACAGTGAGGGCGAGTTTCGGAGTTTCTTTACGAATGTGACTAGTGGATTGCTGAGAAACGAGTACAGGGAGGTTATTGAGAGCAGGAAAGCACGCGCAGCTGCGCATGTGCACCACAAGGTACATCCGCCAGGTAGGAACGCCATCCAGATCCTGGACTGGCCTGTCTGTCACGGTGTTGAGCACAGGAAAGTGTAATTAACATGAATTCAACATGCTTGTTGAATAGAGGGTCAGGGAGCAGGTTTGAAGAACTGTAAAAGGGGTTTGCTGATGACACAGGCATGTCAGTGAGCCCGCAGGCTTGGATTGCAGCTGCTGAGCTGGATCTTGCCCTGGCGGTGTCCTTAAGCTGCTCAGGTGGGCTCATGCACCCAGAGACGGGGTAGCTCCACAGGAAGCACAGCTTAGAGGTTCTGTGGCGCTTTGATCCAGGGGCACAGTGATGGGGGGAGCGCGTATCACAGGGGACGACAGAATAGAGCAGAGTCTTGACACACCTCAGCCCTGGTGTCCGGACATCATAAGGCCATGAAGAAAAGCTTGTATTTAGGTGAGAACATTCTCTTGCCTTGAGCTGCTCTCCCCACAGCCTTCCTCTCCATCTGCTATTCCCCAGGACTAAGTGCTTCTCTCCCCAGTGCCTCAAGACCCCCTTGGGTCCTTGACAATTACTAGTGCTGCTTTCCGATATGGGAATGGACCACCTGTTCTGTGCCCAGCATGCACCAGCTAAAGGGCTGGACCTGACTGCACCGAATCAAGATATCATACCAGACCCTCAAATTCTACTGAGAGAAACGTGAGCCAACCTGCAGGTCCTGATCTTGGAGGACTGTCTGATCAGAGACTTCCAGCTCAGTCAGATCCTACCTTCCTTAAGCCGCTGCCACCAGCTGATGACCTTCAACTTCTGTGGCAATCAAATCTCCAAGGCTGCCCTAGAGAACCTGTTGCGCCATACCCTTGGGCTACAAAGGTTAAATTCAGTGACATACCCTGTCCCCCATGAGTGTTACCATGGTGATTTTGAGCATATCTACTGGGGGAGATTTCTCCAGCTTCGGGCTTGGCTGATGGAGATACTGAGGGACACTCAGGCCTTAAGGCAGCCCGAGGTGATTCTCTTCCGTACCCTGCCCTGCCTCCTGTGGCAGCAGGGCATCCTATGACCTGGAGCCCAGTCCGTGCAGCTGTGGGAGGCTTGGAAGGGAACTGTGACACCGTGGAAATGATTCTAAAGGAGGAGCCAGAAATAAAGGGAACCTGAGCTTATACTGTCTTGTGTCTTTTGTTATCAATTAACCTCTTTTCTGTTTGAATCTGAGTGATCTCCAGGTACTGATGTAGGGAACAGAGCACTTCACAGTCTGATCAGGGAGGTTCCACTGCGGGAACAGAAGGAATGAAAATGAAATCCTTCTCATTTTTATGGATTCCCTCCTTTAACCTCTTCCTGGATATCTTTTATGCCCTTGTCTATTTCTGTACTGTCCAGTGGGGTAATACACACAATATTCATGTCCAGGGTCTGGAACATTCTCTGTGGGAGTGAGCCTGAGCCACTAGACTAAAGCCCCTTCTTCACAGGGACCTTCACTGCTCACCAGTCTTGGCCCCAGTTCACTCTTGATCAATGGATCTAATTTCCTCAGCTGCTGGCTATTGCCTGTGTCAGGAAAGGGCTTCACTACCAAGATGTGGCCCCTGCCCTGGAAGGGGACATCCATGCTGTGTGTTCCCAGGAGCATTAGGGTGCAGCCAGCCCATGCCTGCCTTGGGATTGGGAGGCAACAGCATTTTCTGAACTAAGGGTCAATAAAGACACAAATGTTCCCATTAGAAAAAAGCAAAATTATTTAGGCCTGTAGCATATTTTAAGTACGCCCATCCCACATTAAAACAACTCATCCTTTTGCAAAGCGAAGTCATATTCATGAGAGAACTTCCTACAACATCCCCTATCGAGGTAGTCTGACAGGACGTGTTGTGATACTGGCATAGCATCAGGATGAGTAAGTACCTGTGAGTAATGGAGACACACCCTGTGGTCAGGGACCCTTCGGGAAGGACCCCACTGCAGACCCAGGAGCCAGTGTTGGGCACAGTCCTTAGGCATGAGATTTAGTTTTTTGGGGGCGTTGATGATGAACGTGTTATCCGGCCTATGCAACCCTTGAAGGTCTCAATAAGACGATGCATGTTTAGGGATTGAACGGGGTCTGCTGTGTTGTGGGAGCTCTATATATTCTTCCATTTCTGTTTCTCCTCTTATCAGAATCTCCCAACAGTATTTATCCTCCTATCTCACCATCTATTCCTGAGGACAGAGAGAAGATCAGGAACACAAGGCTCAGGTGGGACTCAGCCTTTCCATGTGACCACCACTTCATCACGGTTCTCCCAAACAGCAGAGCTTCAGCTGCCAAGAGAGGTGTAGTAGTGGAGTGAAGACTGGATTTGTCCCTAGCTAGCGATCATGACACACCTTCCGAAGTCCAGACCCAGCACGGAGGCTCAGGCCTGTAATCCTAGAACTGTGGGAGGCCAAGGTGGAAGGATTGCTTGATCTCAGGAGTTGGACACCAGCCTGAGCAGGAGGGACACCCCTAGCTCTAGTAAAAATAGTAAATATCAGCCCGATGTTGTGGTGGGCGGCTGTAGTCCCAGCTACTCGGGAGGCTGAGGCAAGAGGATAACTTCAGCCCAGGAGTTGCAGGCGGCTCTGGGCTAGACTGAGGCCATGGCACTCTAGCCCAGGCATGGAGAGATCTCCAGCGTCTCTACTAGTATTAAGGTGCAACAAAGAATGCTCCAGATCACATTCCCCAGCTCAAGAGGATAGGGGAAGAAATCAGAAAGAGGAGGAGAGACAGCTTTCCTTTCAAAGAGCTCCTGTACTTCTCCAAATCTCTGTATTTATTGAAGAAAAAAGGCATGGAAGGTCAAAGCAAAGAGCATACAGATAGAATGTTTGGAAAGAACAGATAGATAAAAGCTCTGGTGCCAGTAAACACATTATTTTGAAGAAATCCAGTCAGTGGTATGCAATACCTCCACAGTTGTCATGGGGCTACTTGGGACCCCTTAACTTCATAGAGAATGGAGCCGCGACTGAACCCAGTCACACTCCCATGCATTGCGAATCCTGCTGTAGGCAGCCGGTTGATAAGCATTCATGTCCCAAGTTCTGTTTGCAGGACTGCCACATTTCCACCTTTCTCACAGTCCCTTTACCCAAACTTTCAGCCTTTTCTAATGTTCTTTACAGGGAAACAGAGTGAGACTATGTCTCAAAGAAAAAGATAAACGTTTCTTTTCTGGTAGAGATGGAGGTCTCCCTATTTTGTGCACTCTGGTCTCCATCTCGTAGCTTCATGCGATCCTCCTGCCTCAACTGCTCAAAGTGCTGGGATTCACAAGTGTGAGTCCCAACATCCGGCCAGCTAGGTGTCATTTCTTCCCATTGCAAAGGGAAGTAAGCTGACTTCACTTGGCCACACAGAAACCAAATCCAAATACCCAGTGCTCAGATATCAGCAGCAACATCCCAGAACTCAAATAAGAGGCTGAGACACATTCTGGGGCCTCAGAGAATGACAACGCTTTGGGCAAACAATTCGAGAATTGACTTTCATATGTAGGGTGACCCTCCCCCAATCTGCTCACTCGTAGCACATTGAAAATTTCTCCCCGATTCACAGCTTCTCCACTTGAAATGTTGCAATGCAGGTGACAATCGGCTCCCTTACAATCTTCTATCTACTGGCAGGAGACCAGTCCCTACCTCAACCCCGGAAAACCATCAGGAGAACACTGAGGGAGAAATATTCTTGAGGAACACCAGAGACCCAGGGAGAGGTGGGACTTCCATCCCCATCTCAAGAAACTCTGCTCTGCTACTTGGCCAAAGGGAACATTAAAGACAGTGGCTGTTCAACAATTCCACACTATAGGGGGTTTGTTCCACAGGTCCCCTGGACATAAAACATTAGCCAGCCTTCCCACACTGCCAGGACATTTGGGACCTCATCCAGGCAGGACATGTGGCTGTCCTGTCCTATGTGGTTCTGGAGCCAAGGGCAATACTGGCTTAGGGGCCATCTAGTACCACAAAAGAGGCTAAACTCCAGACCAGCCTTCCCACCCTGCTGTCCTATCCTCTTTGAGATTTGCCCCATTTGAGAGCGGCAGAGCGCTGAATAGTTACTCAAACTGAGCAGATCCTGGGCTTAAGGCAGCATGACAGCAGCACACAGAGCACTTTCACTGCCCTGAACATGCTCTGTGCTCTGCCCATTCATCCCTCCCTCCCACTCAGTGTTCTCACCCACTAAGCTTTTTACATTGTCCCTATTTGCCTTCGCCAGGGGTTCACAAGGTGGCTCTGACTGCCCAGGGCAGAGGAGTTTCCTAACTTTTCCCAAAGGAAAATCAAGCCAGTGCAGGGCTATTTCCTATGTCCCTGCTTTAGCTCAGCCAGCGGTTCCCAAACACGAGCCATACCAGCTTCCCCTGGGGGCCTGTTGGAACACAGGTGCTGGGCCCCCACCCCCTGAGCTTCTGGATCAGTAGGTCTGGGATGGGGTTGAGAAGCTGCTTTTCTGACAAGTTCCCAGGGGGTGCAGCTGCTGCTGGGGTGGGGCCCACACTTTGAAACCCCTTCACTAGGCTGAGCTGCTCTATCTTTTATTTTATTTGTGCAACTTCTTTAGAATAACAGATTCTGCAATGAAAATAAAGATAGGAAACATTCAATCTGATTATCTGGGGGCCTCCTCCAGCTATGGCAGGATCCCAGGACTCTAGGATTTTATTGCAAAGCAGTAAGAAGAGCAGTGAAGTGTTAGGAACTGGGACAGTGTGATGTCACTGCTGAGAGCACTGACAAACATTGTGTAATTCCTGTCCCACCATTCAGGGGCTGTGTGGTCTTGACAAAGTTACTGCCCCTCTCTGAATCTGTCTTTCACAAATGGATACAAGGATCATCTCTATCCTCAGATAGAAGTACTGAGCCCTAAGCTTGGTGCATAATTAATCCTCCATAATTGGTGGATGCCATTGTTTAACATTCAAAGACAACAGGCACCATTCCCACTGCTCTGCTTGACCACCTTTTAAAAACAACAAAAAAAAGCCACCAGGCATAATCAAGAGAACAGCCCAGGCCACAGGGGGTGACCCAGACCTGAGGCAGAGGCCACCCACCTGTCAGTTACTCCCTCTGCCAGGCCTCCAGGCCTTGGCCTTAGAACTCAGCACCAGAAAATTCCTTAGGCGCCAAGCCTGGGCGGTACCTGGGACAAGCCTGCCCCCTGGTGGCCATGACTCAAATTAGCAGAAGTCTGTGGTTACAATTCAGGCTTCTCTGTGATGGGCTCTAGTTCTGGGCAACAGGTGTGAAAATGATTCAAAACCGAATTCCCCCCCAGTGATTTTCTGTTTCTTCTTGGAAAGCATCTGAGCAGTGGTGGGGAACGTGGTGTTCCTACCTATGCTCGGAGAGTTCATGCCTGAATTTGAAGGCTAAGCATTGTCGGCCCTCGAGCCCTGTGGGGCTCACATCTGGGGCCCCATCCTGACCCAATATGAACCTGGGCACGTCCCTTCACGCCCTGCGCCTGGGGATCTTCATCTGAGAAGTGAGACATCTCTGAGGTCCCCAGGGAGACTGGGGTGGAAGGCTGCCCCCGGCTGGTCCTGAGTCTGGCTTTTCTACTACCTGTTTTCTCGTGGCCTGGCATTCCCCCAGCCCTGGTGTGGGAGGGGTGACTGCACGCGGTTTCTGGGAACCCAGGTTCCCATCTACCCCTGCCGGGGTCTTCCCACCACTTGCCCACTGCAGGAATCTTCCTTCCCACCAGGGAGAAAGGTCTCCTGTGTCCGGCGCCAAACCCCAGCCTCAGTCCAGTTGCCCAGTATCTTTCTCCAAGAGTCACGAACCCCAAAGCCCCCAGGGTCAGGCAGGGAATGAGTGAAGGGGCCCAGGTGGGGACCAGGGAGACCTGGAGGAGGGCACAGGACCCCAGAAGGGACGGCTGCCTCTCACTTCATGCCCAGGGATGCCCTTTGGGATTTGGGGTCAATGCTGCTGGATTTTTTTCTCACCAAGGAAAACTGGAGCATGAATTGTGATATAAAATCTGATTTTTACTTTGGCCACAAATGT